TAATCTGAAAAAACAAGCCACGGGCATTACAGGGGATAATATTTTGAATATTTTACAGTTGGTTTGATACATTTATCTCAAACTGTGTCAGAGTTTAATTAATTTAAGTGGGTACAGTATATAAAACATATGAAAAATATGGATTCAGTAATGCATATAAAAACAAAGGCATAATCTGAAAAACCAAGCCTTATGCATTATAGGGAATAATATTCTGAATATTTTACAGTTGGTTTGATACCTTTAGATCAAATGGTGTTGTCGTTTAATGGATTTATATTATTGCATACATTAAAAGTTGTAAAATTATTATAAAACACATAAAATGGTAATCCCAAAAACGGAGCTTTGTGTAATAACAGGGATGTTTTTCCCAAACATTTTAGTATTGGTTTTATATTATAATGTCACATAGTTAAATTGTTTAATTAATTTAAATGGTTAATTTTTTTTTTTTAAATCCCCCCTAGAAATTAAGCCTTGTGCAACGTAAAGGGCATATATTTATATCTATCTGAGTTAGTTTGGGCTCAAAACATAACAGCCACAAAGAGTTTAATTGGCAAAAAAAAAACGAATGTCTAATGAATGTCAAACGTCAAACTAACTTTACCGTCGTAATAAACGGAACTATCCTAAAGTGAACTTTATGAAGCCTCTCAAAAAGTTCGTATTATCCAGCCAATACTGAGTTGTTCTTATAGTTACAGAGGTGAAACTATCGCTTGTGTAATATTATCTGATATTATAAGACAATCCATGACATGCGGGTGAATATACATGACTTCTCAAAATTAAAAGGTGATCAAGCTGCTTAAAATTCCCCAAGATGGGGATAATGTTTTTTGTTTTTTTTTCCAAAAGACATACTTCCAAAAGTCAGAATTTTGAAATATAAACTCGAAATTACCTTTTTTTAAATTCTTTTATTCCATGGCTTCCATAGACTGCTACTTAAAAACCGTCATTTTCTGCCACCAGATAGACTCCGCCCACAAAAAACGTCATCACTGTTTGCAACCAGCGTACAAAATGTGCAATGAAGCCGCCTCCTTGATCATCTCGTTAAGATGATGCAGAAGTGCGTTCCAAAAAAATTGTTTTTTTGACCCTATACACACTTAATTTTTGAGGCCCAAAGTGGGCGGATAATCAAAAATGGGCAAAGAGTCGAGATGTGGCTGGAGCTGAGGTGACTGGTTGCTGAAACCATGCATCTCTAGTGGCCAGAAGATGAATTGCCATTTAAGTCACTTCCGTGTTGGTTTCAAGAGAGACCGGAAGGTTGCCGCTTGAATGGAACGCAGGGAGTGATCAGAGATGGTCTTATTATTGGGAGATGAGAGGGTCTGTATTACTTACTACTGGAGAAAGCGTAATGGTCAACTTGGATCACGTGTGCCTTAACCAATCACATTACAGCCTTGATGTCATTGAATTTCACGGATACGGATACCATAGGAATAAATGGGAAGTACCTTAAGCTGTATCCCACCTGTTGCAAAAAGTCGGTGACTTCTCTTATAAAACGGCATTTTTTTCAGTGTAAACTCTAAAAATAGTTCAATCCAAAAGTATTGTTTAGTGTAAAACATGTTGAAGATTAGCCGAGCTGTTTCCTCAAAAAAACTGTTTATTCAGTGTAGTGAAGCCTCTCCTCCATTGACATCCATTCAAACAAAAAGGCCTCTGGTCTCCTTTCCCACATACTGCCGAAGCGTTAGCATTAGCCGTTACGCTTTTTAGGCTAAAGGTTGCAGGATTGCCTTCTAGTGGCTTTGGTAATGCGCACTCAGTCTTATTTTGGGCATAAATAGGAAAAATAATACTTCTCTCTAAAGAAATTTGAAGTAAACATATTAGGGCTGGGCAAACAAATCGATTTTCCGATTAATAGTTTTTTTAAATGACGTCGATTCGATATCGATTCTCAAAAGCCGCGAATCGATCTTTTCCAGTATTTATTTCAGCACACATTTAAAATAAGATCTGATTAACGTGAATCTTATCATTAGTCTTCTCCACTAGATGTCACCCTTATTTACCTTGCGCGATGTTACAACAGAAATCCTGTCATTCATTCAGCACTTATCATGGCCATACGCGCAATTCGCAATGCTCAGGTGAAATGCTATAGTAATACTATACATCTGCGGAAGCATTTGATATCAAGCATAAGGCGCCATGATTTCCGCAATGAATGAATGGCGGATGGTGCGGCGCACTTTTTTGTTTACTACAGACATACTAAAGCACAGATGACGCTCGTGGTGTTTTCAGCTTCTGCCGTCTCACTATATGATGATATGAACACGAATGTCATCTCCAGCTGCTCTGAGAGTCACTTCATTAGCATTTACCGTTTCATTTGAGAAATCTACCGTCATATCACATACACAGCAGCTGCAAGTTCTTCACGGCAAACCGTCAAAATAAAGTTTAGTTTAACGTTCTACTGTCAGAATATATTACTATTTAGCAGTCTTAAGACTCAATGCTACTACTACTAATAAATATGAATAAATCTTTATTTTTAAAGGAATAATCACATCTGTTTTCTTTTTAATTTTAACAGTAAACCTCTGTTGTGCAGCACTTTGTTTGCCAAAAAATAAAAGGGTTTAATTTTCATTTGATTAGGATAAATTAAATTAATGTTTTATGCCTTCATCTGATTACCAGAAAAATTAAGAACATTTTATAGGGCCCTATTATTGTTTAAAAAAGGACCCTATACAAAAAAAAGAATAGGTTTAAAATACAGGCATGTGGTTCTTAATTTCTTTTTATTAATTCACCATTTGTAAACTGATGTTTACTGTTCATTTTTTAGAAATATCAATAGCATTTGTATTAAAACTATATTCACTGAATGTAATAAAAAAAACATCGAGAATTGAATCGAATCGAGAGCTTGCGAATCGAAATCGAATCGAATCTGGACATCTGAATCGATACCCAGCCCTAAAACATATGATAATCCATGTTTTTCTCCAGTGAAGAAGTGTAGCCTACAGGAGTTCTTTTTTCCCCCCACAGTGAATGCATAAAAGGGTCACAGACATGGACTCTGTTTTTGATTTTACATACTACTTGATAAAAATTAAGAATTACCGTCAAAGATTTTTATCATAACATTATCATATGATGTACAGTTACAGGCTGCCCGTAGGTTATGTTAACTAGTAACCCTGCAGTGTTTTGTAAAACAATAGTTTTCTGTAAAATAAAATTAGTATTGTTATTATCATTAATTTTTATCTAATTATTATATTGTTTTTGTTTGTTTTTTTTGTTTTTTTAAATCGCTTTTTAAAATCACAAATTGCAATTTTAACCAGAAAAATCACAATTAGATTATTTTCCCCAAATCATGCAGCTTAAACTGCACCTGTTAGTGCTTCCCTGTCAGTGCTGCGTGTGGGTGGTTGTTCAGAGTTCAGTATCATTTCTTGCCATAATGCAGTCATCTGTCACACAGTATTTTTGAGAAAATGCGTCTGTGTGCTTAATTTAAGTTTTTAAAATAAAAATATAATTTTGTTATTGCAATGCTAAATTTGTTGCAATTTTGCACTTTTGACAGTCTTGAGATATTTGAATATTGTGAGTAATAAAACAATAGTCTTTGACATCATATTTGTATTGCACTGTTTTAAATACCAAATATTTTTCTTAAAACATTCCTCATGAATGCTTATTCAGTTATTTGTAATATGTCGTTGTGAAAAAAAGTAGTTTCAATGTAGCTAGCTACTTTTTGGTAGTAACTTGTAGTGTAGCTAGCTAGCTTGACTGTACAGTAGCTTAACTACTTTAACTTATGAGTAGCTTGTAGCTTAACAAGCTACAGTTTCAGAGTATCTATATAAACGTGTCTATGTAAACAATCGTGCCATGTGACGCATGACGTAATTTTCCCATGAGGTCAGCTCTTATTTTCGCTGTTCAGGTTTCTCTGGTTATGTAACTTTGTCTTTAAGCAATGTCAATGTTTTGCTAACCAGTAAAACTACAACACAGTAACAAATTTATTTTCTTTTTTGTAGTGTTTTTTGTTTACCTGGTAATGTTAATTACATTTATGATATTTTACATTAAGTTCTGTCCTTCGTGAACTGTGATATCAAGAGGTTTGTATTAGGGTTAGATTTAGGGTGATTAGGATTGGGGTTTAATAAATATCACTTCTGTATAAAAACTTTGCGTGTATGTTTATATAAAAAAAACTGTGTGTGTGTGTGTGTGAGAGAGAGAGAGCGAGAGAGAGAGAGAGAGAATGAATTAAGGAAATGATGTTCATCCAAAAATGTACATGGAAAGATAAGAGTTAGCAACATAACAGCATAAACATGAACTACTTTATTTAAAAGAAAGAAAGAACAAGCGTTATGAAGTACAGGAGTTTTTGCTCACTATCTTCAACTCTACAACGCCCCTTGGCACAATCTTTTGGACGTTGCTGTTACAATCAAGAATGTTCTACAATTGTCTGCCAAGTGTCGTCTTTAAAAAAAAAAAAGGCCAAACTTAGCATTAGTCTGTGCTCCAAAGCATTCAAGATTTACAAACTTTCCAGCGAGTGTGCTTGAGAAACACTGCAATGAATGGGGTTTAACGAACTATTGATTGTTTTGAAACTATTGGTTGCTCCATAACACGCGTTGCTTCCGGAGTCCTAAGTCTATGGGAGTGTCGCAACTCGATAAATAGAATGGCGCTGTGGACTGACATCTCAAAATTCGTCAGGTGTGATCGGGACAGGATCTCTGATGTTGATCTCGGAGGGCTTCCCCGACATACAACAGAGGACATCATCAAGTTCATCTGGTGTAATTCAGGGATTTACAGAGGATTTAGCTGTTAACAACGGCCGTGGACCGTGATATGAACCTGAAAGTGTTGTGTCTGTGTCTCCTTTTTGAAGCCTCCTGTTTCAGTGAGTATTTCTGATAACTAATTGAAACTATAATGAAATCTTAAAGCAATCTTTATGAAGCCCCTCAAAGAAGTCCAAGTTATTGAGTCAATATTTACAGAGTTATGTTTCGCGAAACTATCGCTTATGTAATTACAAAATTTAATCTGATAATATTACCTTTTATAAGACTCCATAACACAGGACTAAACAAACTTCTCAAAAATAACAAAGTGGTCAAGTGGCTCAACATGCCCCAGTTTAGGAATAAATTAAACTTTTTTTTTTTTTTTTAAAGCTACAGTCCATAACTTTTTTTGGTTAAAAATGATCCGAAATCAATATTTGAGCAAGTACATAACCAGCCAGTGTTCAAAACTATCGCCTTACTTTAGCCCGATTCACAACGGTTAGCTTATAATAATGTTTTCTAATTTGAGTGGTACGGGTAGGTTTTCGCGGGAAATTCGAGCATGGCACTGCGTCATTACGTCACGTCTGTAAACATAAAGAAGTTATCCCGGCTACTAGGCTATCGCATGTGAGGATCCTGCAGGTGGCCTATCGTTTATAGCCTTTTCTCACAGCAACCAGAATAATTAAATGTATAATTTTGATGGCAGATTGTAATCCATAAAGGATTATGTGTTTATTAAACACATGTGAATGAAATTAAATTATATTCCAGTTATAAATGTGCTTCTGATTACAGATAGCCTGGGATTACAAAGATTTGTATTTTAAAGAAAACCAGTTCGAAGGGAGCATAATTTGCTTTTTGGGTTAAAAGAATTTCTTAATATGAAATTTGAAGAGTATGACAATTAGATTAGACTGTGCAGAAATTGAAATCTACACGCTAATACACACTATACTCATAGTCACCAATGCTGATGTTGTTAAAGGGATAGTTCACCCAAAAATGAAAATTTGATGTTTATCTGCTTACCCCCAGGGCATCCAAGATGTAGGTGACTTTGTTTCTTCAGTAGAACACAAACAAAGATTTTTTAACTCAAACCGTTGCAGTCTGTCTGTCTTATAATGTAAGTGGATGCGAATCACGGCTTTGGGAGTAAAAAAAAACATACACAAACAAAACCAAATTAAACCCTGCGGCTCGTGACGATACATTGATGTGTAAAGATACGAAACGATCGGTCTATGCAAGAAACTGAACAGTATTTATATCGTTTTTTACCTCTGATTCTCACCGCAATGTCTGAACTGTCTATCCTGAGTGCATCCTCCTGAGCGCGTTCTCAACAGTTCAGTTTCTTGCACAGACCGATCGTTTTGTGTCTTTACACATCAATGTATCGTCACGAGCCGCAGGGTTTAATTTAAATCTAACTTATGTTCATTTTCACTAGAACTTTAAATTCTTTAACTTACTGAAATTGATACTTATTAGGACTAATAGATCTATTACTGGACTGATCAATCAAACTTAATTTAGACTTTTCAGCATTCTTATCATCTTAGCAATAACGATTTTCAATTCTTTGTTTTGCAAGTTTTGTGAGGTGTAGGTGGTATAGGGGTTTTCATAACTCATGTATAACTAAGGATATAAGGAAACATTTTATTTAGAGTTTCAGTGTGGTTCAAAATGATCTCACCCCCATATCATTTATCCTTGCCAAAAATAGCATTACAGCTTACACAGCTAGATCTATAAGTACTGTATGAAAATATTTTATGGCAGAGTATTAAAATAATGTTGGAGGCAAGTTGAACCATGTTTAGGAGAGGAAATGCTGTGAAATACTTACTGAAATAATAATTTCATCAATCAAGTAATGAGTGATTGTGAAACTCAGTTGCGGATATATTTTCTTTCCTTCACTTTCTAGCTGAGTTTGAGATTACTGTTCCCAGAGACACTGTCACTGGGTTTTACAGGGAGGAACTGATCCTCCCCTGCATGTTTCCTGTGGACAGTTCATGGGATCTGAGAAGCACTGTTATTACCTGGCAGCGTGGACTGGATGTTGTTCACAGTTTCTACTACAGCCAGGACCAGCTCGACCGTCAAAATCTGCATTACGTCAAACGCACCAGTCTGTTCAGTCAGGAGATGGCACAGGGAAACGCATCACTCAAACTGGACAAAATCACTCTTCAGGATGCTGGTGTTTACACTTGCTCCGTCAGCACAAACGCTGGCAGCCAGAAGAAGAGCTTTGGAGTGAAAATTGCAGGTAACAAAGCAACATGTACTGATGTTCATAGAAAATCATGTGAATAAATTTCAAGGTCTTACAGTGTGACTGAAAATGCCCTGTGTTTTAATGCCTGCTTTGTTGTGTTTTTCAGCATTCTACTCTGAACCTCGTCTGCAGTTCTCATTGTTAAATGATGGAGTGAATCTGCTAGTGACTTCAGATGGGGGTTACCCTTCTCCTACACTGCAGTGGCTGATGGAGAACTCAGACATCACTAACCAGACACAAACGCACTTCATGCAGGACACTCATACAGGACTTTATGTTGTGTCTAGTTGGATAAATCTCACTGAAGTCACAAACTCCTCTCTGACGTTCATACTGCACAACAAACCCCTGGGACAAGACATCAGGAGAGAGATCCAGCTCTACTCAGGTAAGGACTTTCAAAAACAAGTTGTTTAAAATTCTCTTGAATCATCAACATTTGTGTCTAAATCTAATTAGCATTTAATTCAATTTCTTTGTACAGATAAGAGTGAGAGGCAAGGAGAGTCAGCATACAGATGCCATGGATGCTTCATATTGATCCCTGTTATTCTGCTGCTGCTGATCGTGATGAGTGTATTGTTTGTGTTCATTACAAAAAGAAGAAGAGAACATACCAAACTAAATGGCGCTACGGAAGTGGGACACTTTTCTGAAATTCTAATTCCTAATAGAAAAAGTTCAATATGTCTATAAAGGTTATGTTACAAAACCACTTAATCTAAGTTATATATTATGAAACTTATGAAAGATGTTCTATGATTTGCAAGACAGACATGTTTTTTATATTGAATGAAATATATTTATAATGTACAGTACACGCATTATTTTCTAACCTTGGCAGCTTTTAACAAATAATATAATTCATTAGTGTTACATGACACTGATCCCTTACATTATGTAACATTTCAATTCAACATTTCTCATTGGTGCTAAACAGTCTTTTAACAGACCCAAAATAAATTCTAAATAGAATTTGTCACTCATGACATGTTCTGTGAAGCATTGTTGATTTTCTACATTGCAAAATTGAGATTGAGATCACTTCCATTAGTGTTCCATTTAATATTCATGATTAATATTCATGATTGTGTTGAGTTCATTGCAGAAAAAAAATAAAATACTTGCAAAGTATTTCACCAGTGTTGTTTCACAGATCACGACTGTACATGTACATCTAGCTTTTTTCTTTATAAAAAAATCACGTTGGTTTGTGCTAACGGAAACCAAATCAAATGGAATTGTTCCAGGAATAATGGCAGTACACACAATTAGTTCATTCAAATTTACAACCATTACAAGTCCTGTAGAGATTATCACACACACATGAAAAGGTCAATGTGGGTGAGGAACACAAAATGTATTTTTATATCCACAACTGATACGATGTTAAAAGGCATTCCAATGAATAATAATATTTTGTCTGACTTTACCCACAAGTCTTGAAATGTCATTGTAGACACAGCAAGACCAAACACGTGCCCATGAAGACCCATAATGACATTACATATGAACAGCTTCTAAAGATCACAATTAACAGGATGTTCTGATTCAATCATTACCATGGAGACCATGTAACAAAAGGAATTTAATCTCTCTTTTAATATCTTTCAATACATGCCTTAACAAGAAAATGAATTTCCTGCAATACTGGTTTTAATTATTAAGCATTACATGGTTCTTTGGTTTATTCATCAAAAAACAAACAAAAAATACAGACATTTTCTCACAAGTCCTTAAAATAGAATCACATTCCATCTGAAAAATAATAATCATCTGAGTCTTGTGTAAGGTCTAGTTTTCTCACAATACCCTGCTCTACCAGCTCATCAGATCCAAGTGGAAACTCTGGTTTCTTCTCAAACGGTGAAAATAATGGGAAATTCTAACTTTTCATCTTCCGTTTGCTTTCCTCTAAGATGAAGGATGGCAGAAACACCTCATCCAGTGGCCTGTCTCTCAATGTTGATTCATCCATATCGAAATGTTGCTCCATGGTTTCATTGACCATAACTGACGTCTTTGTGGAACCTTTGTCCTCCTCAGGGACTTCTCCCACTCTCTGAACTTTCTTCAGTGAGTAACGTGAACCCTTATTCATGTTCTGCATTTTCCTGTCTCCAGACCAGCCCAAGGATGCAATGTCAAGCGGCTCCATAGGGTCTAAATCTGGCTTTTCAGATCCCACAATACTCTTACTGATTGCCATAAAAATCTCAACATCCCCATGTTTCTCTTCCTCCATCTCTTTCCTTTCCTCCTCTGTGAGCTCCACTGTGCTGATTTGAGACGTGTGCTGTCTCTTATCATGGTCCTCCTCAGAATATATCAGTGTAACAGAAGCAACAAAGTCCTTGTGGGTGTAGGACCTCTGGGGCTCTCTGGCCAGTTTGCCTTCAAACCAGATGACATTATCATTTCTATGAGCCATGAGAGTGGAGTCCAGAGTTGAGGAAGCCAAAGTTGAGAGAGGAGAAGTCACAGGATCAGAGAAGAGTACTTGATCACTACTTACGAACCCTGATGCACAGAAAAAAGAGAGCAGAGGTCAAGACCTTTATTTTCTCTGACCTTTATTATGCAGCTGAGAGAGAGAGAGCTGTCATTTCCTGTGTACTAATTTCACCAAGTTAACCTTAAACCTAAAAACCTAAAATTTTACTAAATATTAATCTATGTTTTAAAGCTACAACCTTGTACCCATAAACATATAGGAAAAGCGGAATAATCTGAGACCAAAATAGTGCAATTAAATGAAGGGAAAAGAAAAGGTCAGTCCATGATATCACCAAAAATAAATTCTATTAAAAGATATAATGATTTCACTGGTGTTTGTGCACTAATGACGAAATCTACTTATTAACTTAACTTTAAAATACTATAAATATTTTTTCAATAATTAATATAAAGCTGAATTAAAACATAAATGTTAGTCGGAAAAGTGTAAACTTAGTTGAGTTTGTTTGCCAAGGCAACATTTAGAATTTTTTAAGTAGTAAAAATAAACTCAAGTGAAATAGAAATATAAAAACACTAATAAAATGACAAATTCACATAAAATTACTAATACTAAAATTTTAATAAAGTGAAAATATACAAATATAAACAAAATTTAAAACATTACTAAAACTGTACTTTTTTGCCTTGTAATATATATTCTTGAACATTTCAACTGTGGATATCACATGCAGGTTTTTTTGTCTTCCCTTTAATTAGATTTTTTGTAGCTGATACACCAAATCAACATGGATATAAACAGGTTTTTGGCGTTTGATGCAATCATGTGACATCAAGGTGTTTTTGACCAGCATAGTAAGAAATAAAGTGATGAACCAATTGGTCAATTTCACAGAGGTATGACTACTACTACTGGATTTATGTTTGATTATTTACTTACCTTCATATGTTATTTGTTTGGTTTTAGTCTAGTTTGGTTTGATAAAAGAATCAAACATACAAACACACCTGGGCATCATATATATATATATATAAAAGAATAAAAAAATTACTTGACTTAAAGTAGGATATCAGTACATTAATTTCATATCACTGAAGTGTACAGTTTGTGCAGCGGGACTTTCTTTTGATCCGTAAACAAAAACCTCTCGCTTAACATCATGTTCTCTTCAGTTAGGCATTTTAAATCCCTTTAAATAAATATATTAATTTCAAGTAATCATTCAATTAAGAGATCGATAAACGAGCGAGTCAGTCAGCCAGTAAAACGAAAAATTACCGTTAAAGGGTTAGTTCACCCAAAAAAATTAGTCCATAAATTACTCACCCTCAAGTCATCCTAGGTGTATATGACTTTCTTCTTACAGACGAATCCAGTCGGAGTTATATTAAAAATGGTCTTTGATCTTTCAAGCTGTTTATTGTGTTGCAGTCTATCAGTCCAAAAGAAGTGAAATAAAAAGCACCCATCCATAAAAAAAAAGTGTCTCACACAGCTCCGGGGGGTGAACAAAGACCTCCTGTAGCGAATCGATGCGTTTTTGTAAGAAAAATATCCATATTCAAAACGTAATAATCACTTTAATGTAGCTTGCGCTAACAGTTGTACACTGGAAGCAGTTCCGGGCTGATGAGGTATGAGGTCAGTGTTGCCCGGTGAGTCTAGTGAAAATCAACGTTTATTTACAGGAGCAAAGGAAGCAAAGTTTCCTTACTTTAGCAAAGGAAAACCAGTCTCCTCTTGGCTTATATCGAAATCCTCCAA